TCTGGGGGATGGGAGACGGGCTAGTAACTAACTGAAAGGCTATTTGAAAATGATCACCCACATTGAGTTAGTGGGTAAATAAAGTAAAACCCAGGACGTAGAACTTGTATCTAGAAGCTGTTGCATGTGTATATGTGGGTACACACAGCAACATTTAGTGAAAGGAAATTTATTGCCTGATTAATCCAGAGTGTTTAACTCTCTAAACTCTTAATTATAGGGGCTGAATTTGAAGAATTGAACGCAACGGGGAAAAAAACTAAAATCTTTCAAATCAGAGCAATTAAAGGGCTGCTTTAATCTGAGGAGGTCTTATTAGGACTTCAGCATTCTATTGATTGCGCCAACTTGGGTTTTGTTTTTTTCCCCTGTTGTTACTCTTTTAGTAAGATGTCGGATCAAAATGTCATTTAAATAAGGCACCCTGTAAATGAAAATAGAAGTTAGCTGGCCCTCCCTCCACCACTCCCCATCCTGGATGAGTTTCCGTCCTCAAGGCCAACTTAAAAGTTCTAAATGAGGTTTTGCTATTACCTTAGCCCTCATGAAACATTTTTCCCACAAAAGGAGTTAAAAATATTTTACGTTAATGAGAGTTAATCTTCCTGCTATAGGGCCGTGACACTTGTATAGCTTTTTTTCCTTCAAACCCAATTATGATCTCCAGTAAGTGGGTCAGTGGGTCTATGTTTGATGTCATTGCGGCCCTAATCCAAAGTGTTTGTCCATTGAGAGTCTCAAGTCAAGGCTAACATGTGTATCGTATTGTTTAGGTTTAAGTTTTAAAGGGAACGGAGTCAAGCACATAGTCTCTTTTTGATTGTTTCCCCCTTTTAAGGTAGATGGTGGCTTTGTTAAAAGTCTACTCCTACCCACTCTGGAGCTCTTGGGGTTGTGGTAAGGAAGGGAAGGCACGCAGGGCCCTAGAACCTGGGCATCCACAGACACCAGAAAGCTTCCCTCATACATGGTGCCCACTCATTGGATTCAAGAAAGATCAGTAAAGGGGCACCAAGTCCTGGTTGCCTCACGTTGTGCACCCTTGTTTCAAGTGGATGCTCGAATGGGACTCACAGCACTGGCCTGAGAAATTGGGTCCAAACTCATGGGCCAGGGTGCTCCCACATTCCATTTGGATCAGCTGTGCTTTGAATGTGAAACAAATTGTTTTGAAATTAGTTGATGGCAATTAAATAGGGAAATTTCATACGGCATGTAGTTAATTCTTTGACTTCAGATCTGAAATGAAGGCTTCCTAACTTGAACATTGTGTTTAGTTTAGAATGTAGGTTTAGAAGTACTTTGTGATTGAAGTTACTAACTAGGGAATAGGACCAAAAAAAAAAAAAAAAAAA